GTCTGTCCACGTCTCGCCTCGTTAGAGCCCTCAGAGCTTGCAGGCCGGAACAAATCCAATGTGTCATCTGTGCTCAGGTCTGCTGTTTTGAGGTTTGGACTCCATGTTTGCAAAACTTGCACACTTTTAAGCTTATTCACAGTGATAAAAGATAAAAAATGCAACTTTCTCTACATCTCCAGCTTTTATTTTCCAAAAGAGACATTTGATTTAAAAAACGTGTGGGCCGCACTGTGGACAGATCGCCAGCAGCAAACAGGAAGGCAGCTGTGGAATAAGAAGACAGGAAAACCTACGTCTCCGTTAAAACCTAAACAGAGGCTGCATGTTGTTGTTTGCCTCCCCGTTCTTCTCGTCTTTTTAAATACATCATCATGTTAGCTCAGCCGCCAGAAGAAAATGTTGGCATTGTACGTTTCTGTACACCACGTTTCTTAAAGTGCTGTACTTTATGAGTTGACATTGTCATCAGGAGGTGGAGGAGATGGTGGATGGCGTGTTGTGGAGGCAAGACGCCTGCCAAGCTGCAGACCACTGTACAAGACCAACAATCAACAGAACTGGTTGTGATTTCGTGAGTCATTGCAGTGTTTCCAGCGGCTTTTCAGGCTCCAGACGTGTTTTGTAGTGACCCATCTGTGTTTTTTCAGCGGGACTAGTACCACAAATGTCGCACTATAGAGCGACTACGAAGTCCCTTCTGTATACCACCTTTGCAAGGGCTGTATAAATATAATATTGATATATATATTCATAAATATAAAAAACAACTGCTCTGTCACAACATTTCAAACATTATCAGTCTGTTAAATGGTCGTTATCAGTGGTTATCAGCCTCATAGATGAGGGTTAGAAGAGGCCTGCTACGCTTACTCGCGGGTTCAGATATCTGTTGTCAGACCAGCCATTAAATGGCCACTTTGATGAGGTTTCACTGTCAGTTCGATTCTGGCACCAAAACTATGTGGTTATTTTTAGTAAAAAAGATCATAGTTAGTAATAAAGTAAGTATGTTTTTCATGTAATGTAATGTCAAGTAAATTAAAGGCGCTGTATGTAAGAATGTGGCCAAAAAGGTTACTGCACTCAAATTCAAAATACTGCCGCGAGTCGTGTCCGCCCCCCCTCCCCTACAGATTCGAGGTTGCTGGACAGCGGCACGCTGGAGACTGATTTGTTTGCCCACGGGCGGCTGCCGTGGCAGGGCCGTGTCGCCGTGTCCTTGATCTTCGGTTTTCCAGTGGACCGTTCGAGGAAGTCCGGCTTCTCTGCTGCTAACGCTGCTGCCGGGATACAGCTGAGGAGATTGCTAATGCTGCTTGTCGTGTCCTTACTTCTCCTTTAAGTATTTACGTACGTTAGTTAAAATAACCCAAGACTGACTTTTAGTTTCACACTTCTGGTTTAACACAGGACACAAACACGTCTCCTGGGTGAAAGTCCTGTGTTTGTTTGTCCCATCCACTCCGACCTCCTCACTACTGCCACCTGACTACCTCCTTTGCTCCTGTCAGAATTCCTAGGGCCACTAGAGGTGGCTGCCCAGGCCCCAAGCACACAGGAAGCATTTAAGCAGCCGTAATTGTTTTTAATGAGAATTAAGCTTTTGCGTTGCTATGAGCCTCGTGTTTCTGCACTCGAGGCGCCTAGTGTTTTTGCCGGAGCACTCTGAAGTTCTCTAAAGTTGCAAAAATTTCAACTCAGAGCCAAAAAGTGGCCCTCATCATTTCCACTTTTCTCCCATTGTCCGATCGGATGATTTGAGAGGCGGGGCTTCTGTGGTGGTCATGACAACAAGTTTACAGTTGGTAACCAATGGAGGAGAAACTGGTGGTAGTGGTTGCTGGATACCCAGAGCTATACGACTTTACAAAGCACAGTTAGCACCATCTCAATAGAAAACAGCAGATAAGTGCAGTACTGTAAGCGTCCATGATGGAGGAGAAGCTCCTGGACCAACTGGTGGTACTCCCCATGATCCAGCCTCTTTTTTAGGGTCTCATGTACCCACACAGA